TTCTTGGGGGGGGGGGGTATTTACATCTTCCCTCTTCTACTTTAGATCTATTTCTTGTTTCCCTTTTTATGCCTCTTTACTTCCTTGTTTTGGTGAAACATTCTCTAGTAGTTTCTTGAGAAAGGGTGGATAATAAATAATCCTTTGAAAGTCTGCATGACTTTCCCACTGGATTGATAATTTGGCAGAATTTTAAGTGGAATCACATTCTTTTAGAATTTCAAATACTTCATTGTCTTTGAGTTTCAGGTGTTGCTGTTGAGAAACCCGACGACAATCTGATTCTCTATCCTACGTGACTTTTTTCTCTCTCTGGAAGTTTTTAGGATTTACTCTTTGCTCTTTAATCCTGAAAACTCATGTCCTTCAGTCCTTAAATATTTAATTCATTTCTTCCCCTCTGGACTGCTCTTCCAATTCTGTTGTCTTTCTCTTTGAAGAGTATTTTTGCTCGATTTCCCTCACATCTTCTGTGCGCTTTCCCCCCTCACTTCTGCTATCTTCCAATTTCCAATAACTCAATTTACCCACCCCACCCTTTTTTTTATTGCATACTATAGAGGCTACATCTTAACTTTCTGGGAATATTCCTGGGACTCTTTTCACCCTGCAATGTCTGTTTCTCCCACATTCCTCTCTCTGTTGTTAAGGCCCCTTCCTTTTATATTATTGGATTTTCTTGTTTGCTGTCCATGACTTAGCAAGATAAAAAGTAAAAAGGGTGGGAGCTCTGAGTGAAGGGGTGGGTCGTGCTCTTGGCTTTGAATTTCAGTGCAGAGTGCCCTGGTGCACAGTTTGCGGAGAAGAGCCCTGATGCCAGTCTCTGGTCAGGCACAGTCACTCATTTCCCTTTCTAGGTATAGTACCCAAGCACTGCCTAGAGATTCTACTCTCTCCAGAGAATTAAACCTCAAAGCGCCAGCCTAGGTGGGAAAGGGGCAGCTGCCTGGAGACACAGACTGGAGGGGAAAATGTAGTGATCCAGCTGCTGCTCAAGCAACTTTCCTAATCCCCCTTATTTTCAGCACCCTCCCTTCAATCCTAATTTCTGAGGCACCTCCTGCAGCTCCAGAGGCGTCTATAGTTTAAACTGAGTTGTTCCTCAGCTTTCCCCACTCTTGGGGCCTGGGGCATTTACCTCTCCTACTTGTGCTTTCCAGCTTCCAAAATTTTGTTGCTGTGGTCCCCCCATCCTCGTGGGCTTTGGTGTGACTGCGGGTCACTCATGCGAGGAAGCGGAATGAGATGACTGTATTTAAACCACCACCTGAACTCAGAAAGGAGATCTGTATCTTCAAGCTCTTTTAGCCATTCCAACCATGTTGCTCTTCCTTCCTTTCCAAGGACCCCTACTTCTCCCTTTTGGGGGAACCTTCCACCAGCCTACTCCACAAGGAGCGCACGCACAGCTAAGAGCTGCAGGGTGCTGGTGGGGATAGAAACGGTACAGAGGATATTGGCTTGATTAAGTCAACTGGTGGGCTGTGGCCAGCTCCCTGGAGTCACCTGTCACAAAGGCCTTTCTGTAGCCCCCA